TCTGGGGGTCGATTACGGTTCTTGAAACGAGGTGAAAATTACAAAAGTGAACAGATTTACTACTAGTGAATTTCCTCACTTTTGTAACTTTCACCTCGTTTCAAGAACCGTAATAAGCCCCCTGGGGCCGTATTCTGTTCCGCTAAAATCCGCTTATGCCCGGTCTACAATAGATGTCGGAAGTCGGAGTCGTAAGAAATTGACCAATCACAGTTCATTATTCTTCGACCGCAAGGAGAATAATAGATTGTGATTGGTCAATTTCTTACGACTCCGACTTCCGACATCCATTGTAGACCGGACCTTACCGACAATTGTCGGTGTCGTTGCGCAGCTTTTACACGATATGAAAAACCTGCGCAACGACACTTATCGAACCGACAGTTGTCGGTAGGCAGGAATGGAATACGGGCCCTGGTGTGGGATCGTGTGGGATTCTACTCAAATTTGCTGCCAGTCTGTGCGCCGTTAAGGGGATCCTAAAGACATTTGTATTACCGACCGAATTCTATATCTGTCCTTGTATAGACAATGATGATAGACAAGGATAGACATGGTTATAGGTTATAATTTTTTCGAAGCTCTCATTTTTATTCCAGACTTTCAATCTCAATTTCAAAGGTACGTTATTGTTTGTGCACGTCTTCTGAAGGGTGGGAACATTTCATTTCGTACATATTACTTATACAACTGTTTATATTAGAAAATGAGGTAACAACATTTTTAATTTTTTTCAATTATTACTAATTATTTTACATTCCCACCCTTCATTAGTACCTATACTTTACTCCTGTAAAAGGATTTTGCGATCTATAAAGCCGTTTCAAAATTAGACCTTTGACTGTAATTGTCGGTAATTGAGTCACTTTAGCATCCCCTTAAGGGGATCCTGCAGTGACTGGCGAACTTCCTCGATGTCGATAATGTCAACCTTTCTAATTTTGTTTTCCCTATATCTGTCTTTGTCTAACGAAATGACATCTGTCCTTTTTTCGATTGCTCGCCATCTTTCGCAAGATCCGGCAACTACTGTTGCTGCTCTTCTTGTCATTTGCATCCGTATTTGCATTACTAAAATAATTTTTCGATGGATCTTTTTTTGTACGCATTGAATCTTACTTCTACTTGCACGATATTATTCCTACATGTTTTCCCAAGGGCAGATGATAAAAATTATGTATGTATAAACTGCAGAATTTTTGTTTTAAGCAAATATTGTCGTCAGGTGACAGCTGCGTATGTGCCCAAATAAATAACATTTTTAATTTTTTGACGTTTTTGATATAAAATCGCGTTTTCTGCCCTAGATTTTTGTGCGTACTTTAATTCTAGACCAAAAACTTGCAATTCTGTAAAGCCAATTAAAAGATCCATCAAAAAACGATAATGTCGGTAAATCATACGGCTGCAGGATCCCCTTAAGGGGATGCTGGAGTCGCGGGCGAACTCGATCAGCGTCGATAAAGAAGTGCTCACCGATTCTTACATATACATACAGAGCGCAGGCAAACTCGACCAGCGTCGATAAAGAAGTGCTCACCGATTCTTACACATACATACAGAGCGCAGAGTTTTTGGCTGAATTCGGGGAGACGCGTAACATGTGCATATGAAATTTTCTAACATACTTTTCTCTTATACTAAAGCTCGCAGCTCATTTCTGCAAGCACAGGATTCTTCTTTATTATATTTCCGTGACGGCTGCAAGGTTTTTGTATACGTACACAGTCTAAAACTTTTATTTGCAGCAAATGTTGTCATGAGTCGACCGCAGAATCGAAAATAAAAATGTAATTTTCTAATTTTTTTTCGTTTTTCATACGCGATTGGTGCCTGCCGTCTTCGTTATCGTCCATACTTTAATTCTGGACAAAAAATTTTTAATTCGGTGAAATCAATCAAAAGATTTGTGTCTGAAAATTTCGTGGTAAAACAGACTTGTCTCCAGCATCCCCTTAACATTTTGCTTACTGGGATGTCTGAGATATGTGGTATGTACATACATACGACGACGGCCGACAGCTGATAGCGTGGATTTGTTGAGATATCTGAGCAAATCTGCTGCCAATCTATTTTTATACCGCGGGCAGATTGTTTACCGGATTGTTAAAGAGAAAATTAAGCGAAGCGAGGCGAAGGGTAAGGTTAGGAAGGTAGGGCTAGGGAAGGGGGAAGAGAGCTAGGAGAAAGAAGAATTCGAAACAGCTGTTTCACAGACATGATATATTAATTTGACGCGATCGTTCGATTTTCCTGATCAATTATCGCAAATGTGGGGATCCTATAAGACTCTTTCCAATTCCATGATTCGCTATCATCGTTGAATGAAGTATTTGTCAATGATGTAGTGTGTTGCGATTTTGCCGGTGGCAACAGGAATATTAGCGATATCGCCATGATAATGTGCCAAACACTGTGAACGTACTGCAACAAAGCAAATGAGAAATAAGGTTTCTGAAAGAAGAGAATAATACTTTACGCCATTTTATGATTTAATAATGAAATCTGCTTTAGTGAACAAAACAAAATTACGTCCTAGAATAAAATCCATTAACCCTTTAAAATCTTTTACCACTTGTGAAATTTAAAGCTTCAAATTTTTCAACTTTTTATCCACGTCGATATAACGCGAGATATTTGCATTGCATTCACGTGCATGGTGCGTTTTTTTTTTTTTTTAACATTTCCGAAATATTCGCACGAAACTTGGTTTATAAGTACAATATACGTCTTAGAGGCGATAAAACTTTTGTAAGATATATATCTACGTGTTGTAAATATACGTACTTGATAGTTTTTCTCCGTTTCAATGAAAGAGTAAAGTAATAAACCTGTAATAGCAAAGAGCAAACCTAATAGTATCCTTTTGCTTGGTTTTTTGCATTTCTTGGATTGAAAAATACGGTAAGTGTGTGTAAAAATCTGTAACAGAAGCTGCGCTTTTATATTATACTTGTGTCAATCCTTAATGTAAAATTCTTCAAGTAATCGTGAAAAATATATCTCTGTGTGTAGTTATATTTCTACGTAAACTTCTATTACGTTCCTATATATTTTTTATCACACACACGCACACGCGCGCGCGCGCACACATAATATAATATATAAAAGAATATTCATCTTTATTTACCAACATTATTTTTTTTGTGTAAAATCACCCTAGATTAACAAATATTCTAGATTTACCGGTATGATAATACCCAATGATAGCGGTATTGATGTACTGATTAAACACATTCTGTCACGTTGCATCCCAAAAGTGATTATAAACACTCCCGTCATATGGCACAATGGTACAAAAGCAATCGGTAATTCCGCCATTGCTACCAATGTCACCCAAAATGCCAAGATACTCGAAAAAAAGTCGCTGTATTGTAAAATCTACCAAATAAATATGTCATGTCATAAATCATAAATATGATGTACTGAAAGATGTCTAGTCAATTTTAGTACGTATGTTGAACGTAATTCTCTTAAGATTAGATTAAAATGTGTGTGCATGCATGCATGCATGTGTGTGTGTGTGTGTGTACGTGTTTGTAAAAATTTACGTATAAAAACTGTCCTTAATTATTATTTATTAAATATAATAAAAATAATAGTTTCTCTCATTTTAATAAAATCGATATGATACAAGAATTTGAATTTTTTTTATAGAGCGTAATTATAAACAGGATGTGTGTGTGTGTGTGTAAAAATAAAGAAAAATTTGTAGACATACCTCGTACTTTGTAATACAAAATTGTCCGTCACTTTGATCACAGGCGTGATACAAAGACGAGAACAGCATGGTAACCAAGTACACCAGCCCTTCTGCATATAGCTTTCGTTTTACGGCTATATATATGGCTGGTACGAAAAAGATATTGCTCATGACGAGCAGCATGGCACTAATGAGAGGAATAGCAGATACGGTACTCGAAATATCGGTGCAATCCCATCCTGTGTAACCTGAGTAATTGAAATGTTATATAGCAGAAGCTTATAGTTTGTGTGCTCACATACGTCTATATAATTCAGATCTTTACAGATCGTGTGCACAATTTTGTATAATTCAAATCTTTTTGAATCATGCACTTTTAATTGCATAAATTTTGTTTTCAAACGAAACGACGCGACGCCTCTCGTCTCAGAATTAACTTACCTCAGTCACTGAAGTAAATTTTATTTTATATTTTTAAATCAGACACTTTTCGATCAAGTATAAATAATGTAGGATGCTTTTTGTTCGTACGTGCATACGTGCGTGCGTGCGTGTTAGCATTACGATTAAAATATTCCATTTAATTATATTTAATTGTAATTCGGTGTAGTAAATTAAAAAGTACAATCAATGGTGTATAAAGTTATGTTGAAATAATGTTACCTTTAAAACACGTGCACGTCGCATAATGAAGGATATTCTTTTGAATTTCTTGACAAATGCCGTGATTACCGCAAGGACTTTGGTCAGAAAATGTACACTTTCTGGTATGTATGTTCAGTAGTATTGACATTTTTTCGATTTGACAGGGTACAGGTGTACTATACGCGGACATAAAATATCATGTTACATACAGTACTATACGTTGTGTAACAAATTACAATATTATTTCCTATTCGATCGTCTTTGATCAATCTCGCGTTAAAGTTTCCCTATCCACGTATTCGATAGGACACGCAATCCTTTCTACAATTTTTTGAATTTTTAATTTCATATCTCAGCTTGAAATTGAATAGCTCGAATAACTTGAACAAGAGTTATTCAGGTTGAAGCACGTTTCACTTAAAATTGCTTAGGATATAAATGTTATTGTCGTTTTTTAATATAAAAACAAGATTCCACATGTAGCAGCTTATTTCTGTTTCATTTATTTTCTATTTACTACTACGCTCGTATAATCATAATTATATATAATGCCGATGATAAAAGAAAAGGAATGAATGGAAGAGAAGTAAATTATTTTGTGTATATTTAACACATTTTCAATCTTTGCATCTATTCTAATCAAATCTTTTCAGTTAGAATTTACTTACCCATACGTATAACATGTAGCAAGAATAATAATGTACCATGTGCCTGGTTGTGGATACGCTATTAATAAACTTGCGTTGCGCTTGTTTAACGATGACAAATTTATCGCTAAAGTTCCATTTTGACAAGATTTAAGGTTTTCCAGTTTGGGTATACGACCTCGTTGAACGCACATTGTTACCAAGACCGCGTGTGTCGACGGCAGCTAAAAGGATTACAAAAGTATATATCCAACGTTCGATTTCGAATCATGTCTCAAAATATTAAAAGTTTTGCTCCTCTATTCTGAAACACACCCTACTATTAACGTGCTACTTCTTCTTTTTCCTTTACTTCCGCCCTAATATATGGAACACGATATCACGTTCTCTCATTTTCAACGAGCTAATATTTTCTACGCTAACGTGAACACGTTCTCTTATCGCCGTGTTCTATCATTACACGCAACGTCCTCTATTCCAAATTTTATACGTTTTATACTTATTTTACAGTTATTTACTTTATACTAAATTTTTTCTATCGCTTTCTCATCATTCGCATCACTCGCCAGTTGGTCATGTAACGTTATGGACGCGTACATCAGTATATCTTTCGTTTCTCGTGTTATTTTTTTACTCTAAGACAATTGCGCGCGCGCGCGCGCGTAACAACTTTTTTCGGTGCACGCAGAATAAAAGTGAAGATTGAGGGAAAAGTTTGCAATAGCAAAAATGCACGGTCCCGTCAAGTTAAAGAGAAAATAAAGGAACTTGTTGGTTTTATATGCACC